CAGGTGGAGTTCAGCAATAAATAACTTTGAACTTAAGGTGTCAATGTCTTTTAAGCCAAGTCAAACTATTTCACCAGTCAACCACCCTCCTCCCAACAAAATAATTACATAGCATCCATTTTCTAAATGCTCATTATGGGCCACACACTAAATTAAATAGATTATGTGTATAATCTCAGTCTTCAGTATTGATAAAGAGAACCAAGGCTGGGTATGTATGCTCTTCCTCAGGAAGTCACACAAAGGATACAGTCCCCTAGAGACACGTGGTCCTTAAAAATCGTGTACCTGTGGAACAGAGATCTTTCAAAGAGAAGCCTAAGGAGGCTCTTCACCCTAGAGGCAGCCTGAGGTAGCCCAGCCTAAGCAAAGGGCTTTCTGCAGTATTCCCCAACCAAAACCTTTTGGTCTAGTCCTGTCCACCCCAAAGCTCTACCACTGCACTCACCACTTCTTAAGGACAATCTTGTTCCAACGAGTGCCAGTTTGGGCTGCAATCAGCTTCTTAAGGTCCCCAATGGTGTCATCAGTGCTGAGCACAGAGACGTTAAGGCAAATGGAAAGAAGAGGTAGAACGAAAAAGACAATACAATCTGCCAAGTCCCCATCCGTCCCCTCTCCTGGATTTAACTAAAACCATCCTAACAACACAAACTGAGCTGCCTGCCTCATGCCAAGCATTCCCAGGGATCACTGCCTCCCGGCCTTCAGTGGATACTTGCATTTAACGCGGACCTTCTTCCCCAAACGGTCGTTGCAAACAACCTCGATCATCCTGGCTGGAGCTACCCAGGGCAGGAGTTGGAAAGCAGCAAAGTCAGAACTTCAGGAGTCTCCCAGGCCCCAGAAGCCCCAGCCTACAAGACTCCCAGTCCCAGGTCCTAACCCACCAGTTACTGGGTCCTCCGTTCACTCCCGAACACCCTTGGGTCTAGACCCAAGTCCTCCCAGGCCTTACGTCCCGAGTCCTAGGACCGAGGATCTCAGGCCGCCACAGCCCCGCATATTCTCGTCGCCTGAAGGACCGGCCTCAGAGCTCCCTGGCTTCACCTCCCGCCAGTACTGGACCCTTAGCGGCCAGGTCCCGGCAACTTTCCATAATTCCGGGCTGACCGCTCACCTCCAAACGCCTCGACCCTGCAGACACCACAACCTCCAGCCTCAAACGCTGGATCCTGGCCTATTAGTCGACGCTGGGAACCGGAACCGGAAGTGCTGTGCCGGAAGCTTCCGTTTCAGATGCCTTCCCCTCATGAGCTTCTGCAATCTGTTCGGTTCTTCGCAGAACCGGGTTTGAAGTTCCGGGATGAGACTTTGGTGTCCCGGGGTGCGGGGCAGGGGAGGAGGAGTGGAGAGCCGAAGGTTGGCATCTGGCCTGTTGGAAGCCGTTGTTTGAGGCCTTTCGGTGTGGGGACATCCTGTGTGTTGGTGGAGACGCTAAAAGGTCTTGAGGGAAAAGGTGACCTCCTGTTCCTGAGCCCGAAAAAGCCTTTTCTTGTAGCTTCAGGGCCACAGGAAACAGGGATAGGTTCCTGTGGTTATCCGGTCCAGTTCTCTGCCTTCATTAGGGTTAGGCCTCGTAAGCATTTTGTCCTCCCCTCCCCTCTGGCCATCGCGTCTAACCCCCGGGACACCCGAGATGCAGACTCCAGTCAATAAGCAGTCACTAAGCGAAGCCAGATCCTGGGCTGGACTCCACGTCGTGCACAACTATCAGTCGTCAACCTGCAATGCCCGCGTGAGGAGGCTGGAAACCGCCCAGTTGCTAAATTGCCCACTTCTGTATCTTCAAGGAGCACTTTATACCGGGGTCTAGGTCTGTGAGGGCTAGTGGGCAGCACCCCCCCCCCAACCCCATTAAACCAAACCGTTTCTACCCAGTGGAACTGTTGAATGATTCCTTCTGGACAGAGAAGCTTCTCCCAGTTTGATGAGTCTAAATTG